GCGGGGGGAGGGGGGGGAGAGAAATAAATAAATGTTCATTTAAAAAAAAAAAAGAATTCTCTTTGGGAAAACAAAAAGGTGGCTTGGAAATCACAGTAAATAAATAGATAAATTAATTTAAAAACTTTAAAAGAATTATCTTAGAAAAAAAAAAAGGTTTGTCCTTGCTTCAGGTTTGTCCTTGCTTCTCTATGCAAGTTGGCAAGTCAATGAGATCTCTCTGAGAAGATGATCTCTCTACGAGAAGACTGAACTAGACCTTTGGGTTCTCATCCAGATATATGCCTCCTTGTTTCTATGACTGCACTCTCTGGACTACACCCTCTTCCATCTATGGTAGCGAGAAGTGAATGCAAAAATTACAGAGCACAGATAGGACATGAGCAGCAGAGCTAACCATGCTGAGGCTCTGCCCCAGGGTGCCTTAACCACCGTGCCACCAGCTGGTCCACAATTACACTTCTGATATGTATCTGTCAACAGAAAAATAACAAACTGTAAAAATTAATAATTAATGTGGTTTATTTCTAAGCTAAATATGAGTGACCTAGGCCCGGAGAAGAGGCCTTTCTCAGGGTGATTATGGACAGGGGTCCTTTTTATTTGATTTTGAGGTTTACAGGCAAAATTAGTGAAGAGATTTCTATTGGTCTGGCCCAAAAAGGTGGAACATGTGGAGGGGGGCGGTGCTTGTAGATTATAGGTGGGTTCCACAATTCTTAGGCTGGTGATTGGAAGGGAAGATCTGTGTCTTGGGAAGAGATTTGCAAAGAAATGCTTAATTTACACCTCAAGGAAAGGGAAGTTCTGTGCCTTGAGAAGAGGTTAGTAAAATAATATACTGTAGTCAATTGAATATACATCTTAAAGATACTATGCCAGGGACAGGATTTAGGAAGAATCCTATTAAATGGGAAAAAAATGACCCATTAATGTTTGTGGGTGTGATTCCTCCTAGGCCCTCTTGAAAGGACTTTGGCAAAATAGGAAAAAGCAGTCAGACTTCAGTCCACATATCCAAAAGAACTGAAAGCATGATCTTGAAGAGACATCTGTACACCCACATTCCGAGCAACATTTTTTACAATAGCCAAAAGGCAGAAGCAAGTGTCTATCAGGGGGTGAATGGATAAACAAAATGTAATATAGCAATTCAATAAAGTATTACTAGGCCCTAACAAGGAAGGAAATTCTGACACATGGATGTACCTTGAAGATATTATACATTTTAACGGGGACCAGCAATTAGCGTAACGGCTCTGTCACTGGACTCCCATGTAGTCGACCGCAGTTTGCGTCCCAGACCGGGTGGCTTAAAACTCAAGCCGGGCGCATATGCGTGTGTGCCCAAGATCCCAAGAGGAGAATGGAGAAGGGGTTGCAGCGTGACCATCCCCCTGGGGGGTGATTTCTCACTTTCTGTTTCTCTGTCTCTCTCTGTCTTTCTGGCGAGCACGCATGCCCTATAGCAAAAACCTCTCAAAAAAATAAAAAATAAAAAGATATTATACATTTCAGTCAGTTGTGTTGCTTATAGCAGAAATAACTCAGTCTCGTTCATTTATAAGAAAAAAGGTTATTTGGGACCAGCAGATGGCGTAATGGTTACGTTGTTGGACTCCCACATAGTCGACTGCGATTCAAATCCTGGACTCAGCAGCTTGAAAGTCACACCAGGCACGTGTGTGTGCATGTCCAAGATTCCAAGAGGAGAATGGAGAAGGGATTGTGGCATGGCCATCCTCCCTATGGAGTGATTTCTCACTTTCTTTCTCTCTGGTAAGTGCACACACTCTATAGTAAAATATCTCTCTTTGGAAAAAAAAAATAATAAAGGTTACTCAGTTCACAGTTTTAGTGGTCTAAGGTCAGAGGGGCACATCTGGGGAGGGTCTTCCTGTAGTGGAGTGCCAAGTCAGTGCAGGACATCACCTGGCAAGGCCACAAGCAGGGCAAGAGTGCACGTGTCTCTGCTCTGGTCTCACTCCCTCTACCCCAACCTGATAATGTCATCGATCCTAATCAGCACTCAAAGGTACCACCTCTTCATTCTAAAGTTGGATTAAGTTCCTGCTATCTTTGTTTTTAAATTTATTTATCTACAGGGTCCCATGATGCCATGAACTTCTCCCCAACCTCCCAGCAGCTAGGATCATGAACACATGCCTATGGACATGCTGTTCAAGTCACCCCAGCTCCAGTATTACAAGGCAATGCCCTGCCACCATTGCCACTGTAGCTGGGCCAAGTTTCTGCCCTCTTACACCTTCACCATGGCTCACTAAATTTTAACACATGAATTTGGGGGAGGGGGAGTCATATTCAAATCACGGAATTACGTTTAGTGAAATAAGCCAATCACAAAACACAAATACTAAATGGCTCTACTTCCATGAGATACCTCAAGTAATCGCAATCAGAGGCAGAAAGGAAAATGGTGGTTGCCTAGGGCTGGGCAGTGGGGAGTTGTTTAATGAGTTCAGTTCTATGAAAATGAAAACGTTCTGGAAATCTGCTGCACAACAATGTGAACATAACTTAACACTACTGAACTGTACGCCTCAAATGGTTAAGATGGCAAGCTTTGTTTTATGGGCTTTACCACAAAATATCCCTCTGAGAAAACGGTTCATGGAGAAAACTGTCTCAGTCAGCCAAGCAGAGGAGACAGGAAGCACTGTGATTCAAGGTGAGTTTCAAAAGATGGATGCATAAAATCTTCTGTCCAGCTTATTTTCCCAATCTATTCCCTAAATCTTCAGGATTTAGCTGACAAATCTAAAGCCAGGTGCCCACCGAGGGAAATGACACAGCTGTTCACAGGCCACAGAGGGGCAACAATCAAGTGGTTTATATCCCATGCTCCCACCAGCTGTTTTGTCCCAGGTAACAGCAGTCCAGCAGGATGGAATCTGTACCTGAGCATGTTAGAGTGCTTTCTCTCCAGGTGCCGTTCTCTGTACAAACTGAAGTGATCTTTCCTCCAGGGCTCTCAAAGCCCTCCAGACAGTCATAGTGAGCCTCGCTGCCCAGGCTGGAGCCGGGGTTCCCCACCAAGACAGCATGCCGCACTTCTGGAGGGCTGCCACAGTCCATCTCTGCAATGGGAAGCAACACGTCACTAGTTATAAGCCCTGACTTCTAACCCTAAGATCAGTGTTTTAGAAATAAACATTTAAGGGGACCAGCAGACAGCATAATGGTTATGTTGCTGGACTCCCACGTAGTCAACCACTGTTCAAGTCCTGGACCCGGAGGCTCAAAATTCATGCTGGCCACATGTGCGTGCATGCCCAAAATCCCAAGAGGAGAATGGAAGAGAAAGGATTGCAGCGTGGTAATCCCCCGTGATTTCGCACTTTCTCTCTGTCTCTTTCTGTCTCTCCGGTGAGTGCATGTGCCCTATTGCAAAAAAAACTCTCTAAAAAAAAAAAGAAAAAGAAAAAGAAAGAAAAGAAAAGAAATAAATGTATAGTGAGACAAGCAGATGGCATAACAATTACATTGCTGGACTCCCATGTGGTCGGCTGCAGTTCAAGTCCCAGATCTGGCAACTTAAAACTCACGCCAGGCAGGACCAGTAGTTGGCATAATGGCTAAGTCACTGGACTCCCATGTAGTCAACCACAGTTCAAGTCCTGGCCCCAGTGGCTTAAATTCACTCTGGGTGCATGTGCATGCGTGCTGAAGATCCTGAGAGGAGAATGGAGGAGAAAGGATTGCAGCATGGCCATCCCCTGTGGAGGGTGATTTCTTGCTTTCCGTCTCTCTGTCTCTCTTTTGTCTTTCTAGCGAGCACACATGCCCTATACCAAAAACCTCTCCAAAAAAAAAAAAAAAACTCACACCAGGCACGTGTACATTCATACCCAAAATTTCAAGGGAGAATGAAAGAGAAGGGATTGTGGTGTGACCATCTTCCCCTGGGAGGTGATTTCTTGTTTTCTGCCTTTTTTATCCCTCTGTCCAGGTGAGCACACACATGCCCTGTAGTAAAAATCTCTCACAAATAAATAAATAAACATTTATTAATGATAGAGGCCACTCATGTAACGAAAAATAAAACATAAACCCCATTAAATCATCCAAATGTGAAACCAGCAAGTGGTGTGGTGGTTAAGGCACTGAACTCCCACATGGCCAACTATGGTTCAAGTCCTGGACCTTGCAGCTTGCTTTCTCACTTTCTCTCCCTCTCTGTCTCTCTCCGATGAGTGTACGTGACCTATGGCAAATAAATAAATAATGATCATTTTAAAAATTAAATAAATAATTCTTTTAAAAAAATTATCCAAATGTAGGTAGATTAAAATAAGGTTGTTTAGAAGTATAGATATGCTTGAATTTCATGAAGTTTCCAAATAGGCACACATAGAAAATAGCCAAATTATGAGATTATCTACTCAGAAGGAATTTCTTATCTATCACAGAGTTCTTTCAAATATTAAAATTGTCTGGTACCTTTTATTATGTATATTCAGATCTTTTAACTCCTGAATAAATGGCAATGCAACTGTAGCAATCGTTGCCAACTGAATATTAAATGAAATATATACAAAATCTCTGAATCTTTTAAAGCAAATTAATGGAGAAAGTATCTTCTAAACATTCCATTTATATGAGCTTTCAAGAGAAAAATGAGATCAGTTGCATAAGGAAAAAAACCTGGAATAATAACATTGGGATGAAATTTCTTCTCTGCAACTCTGACTACTAAAAGACAATGAAATATCTATAGAAAACTATGTGAAGGAGAAAGGTGAGACCCAGCCAAACTCTACTTCACTAGGAGCACAAGAAAATCATTTCCAGATACTTTAATAACTCAATTTGTATCTTTCCTGGAAAAAATAAATAAATCTTTCCAACAATAAAATAAATACCAGAATAAATATCCTAAGAAAAATGAGTGGAAGGCAGATAAATTTTAAAAGAAACACTAACGAATCATGCTCTCCACAAGATGTACAGATAAGGTTCCATAATCTAATTTCTTGACGAGAGAGAGAGAGACAGGTATTTTGACAGGGTCTCACCACATTGTAAGCTTTCTGCTTCAGCCTCCCAGTTAGCGAAGGTCACAGGTGCACGCCACTACTCAAGCCTGTATTAAGATGGGCCGGGACCCAAACCCAGGCCTCCTGTGTGGCCTCGGCCACTACACAGCTGCACCCTCCCACTTATTCCACCACAGTTGATCCATAATCACAGAAATGTATCGCAGATCCTGGTATAACTGTCGTACAGAACTTTAGAACTAAAAGCTAAACAATGTAAACAAATGAATAACTTTAGGGCCAACTGCTGGCATGGTGTTAAGGTGACTAGAACTCACATGGCTGACTGTGCAGTTCAAGTCCTGGACCGGATGGCTTGAGAAACACACTGGGTACATGCATGCCCAAAATCTAGAAAAGAGGGCGAGATGAAAAAGGGATGGCAGTGTGACTGGGATGCCCCAAGAGGTGCTTTCTCTCTCTCACTCTCTCTCTTTCTCTGTCTCTCTCCAATAAGCATACATACACTCTGGCAAAATAAATAAATAAATAAAAAGAAGGAAGAAAGAAAGAAAGAAAAATGTAATGATGAGGCCAGCAGGTGGTATGGTGGTTAAGGCACTGGACACCCACTAGGTCAACCACGATTCAAGTCCCAGACATAGTGGCTTGTTTTCTCACTTTCTCTGTGTGTGTGTGTGTGTGTGTGTCTCTCTCTCTGGTCAAATTTTAAAAATAAAATGAATGAATGAATAAATTTTTAAAAAATATTTAATAATAACTTTAAGGGGACTAGTAGGTAGTATGGTGATTAAGGTGCTGGACTCCCACATGGCCTACTGCAGTTCAAGTTCCAGACCGGGCAGCTTGCTTTCTCAAGAACTCTCCTCTATCCCCATCTCTTTCTGGTGAGCACGTGTGCCTTATAGCAAAATAAATAATAATAATAATTCATAAAATTGAATAAATAATTATATAATAACTTTAAAATAAAATTCCAAACTATGTTAATAAAACCTGAGTAGTAAAATTTCTCGTGTTATGCAATAGTGGGGAGCTCACAGATACAATATTATTCAAGAAAATATAATAAACATAAAATAAGATGGCCATATTTCAGCTGGAACCAACAATCCCAGTTAAAACCAGAAAAGCAAGGGACCAGCAGTTGGTGTAATACCTATGTTGCTGGATTCCGATGTAGTCAACCATGGTTCAAGTCAGACCTAGTGACTTAAATTCATGCAGGGTGCGTGTGCGTGTGTGCCCAAGATTCTGAGAGAATGGAGGAGAAGGGACCGCAGCATGGCCATCCCTATTGGGAGGTGATTTCTTACTTTCTGTCTCTCTCTGTTTTCTGGTGAGCACTCATGCCCTAGAGCAACAACCTCTCAAAAAAAAAAAAAAAAAAAAAAAAAAAAGACAAAAAAATCCCCAGAAAAAACAAAACCTTTCAGCATTCATTCTAATTTTTAACTTTCTCCCAATAAGTAGAAAGCTAAGAAAATTAAGTACTCCTATAATACCAGGCTTGTAAAACAGAAGTCCATTTATTGAGATCAAAGCATTAAAAATAGAAAAAATGGTATAATCTGTTCCCATCTCCCTATCAATCATTCTGAGTTTTGGAAATAGGTGGCTTCTCTTAATGAGCTTCTGATTCAGAATTAGTGGTTAATGGAACTGCGCTCCTCTCTACCCCGTTATGGAAGCTCTTTCGCTTTCCCTGAGGAACGCTTCCCAGAACAGGGTCTCATGTCTTGCCATTGGGATTATCATAAAACCCTTGATACAACAGCCCTGCCCACCTGACCAGTCCTTTTACCTCTGAGATTTAAACAAACAAACAAATGATGGGCCAGCCCATGTCATGGTGGTTAAGGCAGCTGGATCCCACACGGCCAACAGTGCAGTTCAAGTCCTGAACGGGGCAGCTTGAACAACACACCAGATATGTGTACATGAAGGCCTAAAATCCCAAAAGGAGCAAAGAAGAGAAAATTGTGGCATGACAATCCCTCGTGAGGGATGCTTTCTCAGTCTCTCTCTCTTTCTATCTGGCAAACACACATGTCCTCCGGCAAAAAGAAAAATAAAAGATTTTTTTAGTGTTTAGTAAATTTTTTTTGAGAGGTTTTTGCTATAGGGCGCATGCACTCACCAGAAAGGCGGAGAGAGACAGAGAGACAGAAAGCGAGAAATCACCCCCAGGGGGGATGGCCATACCGCAATCCCTTCTACTCCATTCTCCTCTTGGGATCTTGGGCATGCACACACACACACCTCCGGTGTGAGTTTAAGCCACCGGGTCCAGGACTCAAACCACGGTCGGCTACATGGGAGTTCAGGGACATAGCCATTATTCTAACTGCTGGTCCCGGTGTTTAGTGAATTTTTATCAAAGCAAGAATTTTATAATCCAAATTACATTTCCTTGCTCAATTATAGATTCTGTTACTTAAAACAGACTGAAACCCTGAGTTATTCCACAGTAAAGAATTATAAAATTTAAAAAAGGGATGCTTTGGGAACCAGCAGTTAGCGTAATGGCTATGTCGCTGGACTCCCACGTAGTCGACCGCGGTTCCCGTGCCCAAGATCCCGAGAGGAGAATGGAGGAGAAGGGATTGTGGTGTGACCATCCCCCCTGGGGGGCGATTTCTCGC